TGCTCGCCGCAAGATCTCCCTTGGCAATAAGTTTGTCCACTACAAACGTGAATAATCGCTGCCACCTTTGTCCGTGTCTTGTTACGTACTAGCTCCACGTAAGATCCGTTGGTGATAGCTCTTGCATACTTCTCCCGCTTGCAGTCAAGGTACTGGAGTATTGGAAGTACCTGCCCAAACAGAACGTCGGCGGCGTTGAATACTTACAACAAAATATCTTCGCCCGTCTCCAGTATGACTATCCCGGTGGATGTCCGGGGCGATCCCACCTTCTGTAGTCCACACGCTTCTCCCCACACGCCCTCTACTGCCCTCTCAATAACTTTCTCCAGTGCCACAAGGTCTTCCTTTGTGTTCGATGGCACTGCCAACACTTCAGCGGTTCTCTCCAAAGGGGTCTTCATACTAATATCCGCCGAAGGAACCTCATCCTGTCTCAGAGGTAATTCCTCCGTCATGATAGCTTTACCCTTTTCTTTCCTCGTAGCCCGGCTTGGCACTACTGGCGTCGGCCTTACCTCAGAAGTCCGAAGTTCCTTCTCCGCCGATGCTTACTTCTCTCTCACAATATTCACCTCTGCTCCCGCTTCTAGAGTGGGACGCACTCTCGTCACAGCAGCTCTACTCTCTGTGCTAATGTATGCTTCCAATATCAACCGCTTGGCTTTCATCTTCGACATGATACGAGAATTTGGTGATCGCAATTTAATGGGAGCTGCCCGGCGTAAACGTTCTTCTGCCACAACGACCTACTGTGTTCTCCTTCTCTTCCTTGATCGTGACTCTTGTCTGCTCCGGGCCTCTTTCTTCTCTGTGGAGGCGAACTAATTGGCTCGTCCTTTGGATCCGTGTTGACCTCATTAGCACTCACCACTTCTTCTCCTTCTTGAGCCTCGGTTCGCAACAGGAATTCTCTCGTCTCGAATGGAGAATGCACACGTTTCTGAGGCTAAATAGGGCAACCTGTAGAATATACCAAATTCACCAAGGTATTTATTTGATGGCACCACATGGTAAACTAAATTGCTTGATGAAACCCATCAAGTTTCGCTTTAACCGAGTGGATTCCACTAATGGCACATCATCGCAAAGTTCTAATACGTGTTCTTGTACTCATAGTGAACTTGGGATGAGTCTTGCAGATTAGCGGCAATTTTTTTCGTCAAAAGTTTAGAAGTTGAGGTGAATTGTCCACTCTTGTCTGCATTTGGTTTTTCTTAGATTGCCCTATATCTACCACTACAAAGAAATCCTGCTTCCGGAGATTTGCGGTAGATCATCTCTGTGAAACATTCTCTCAAAGATGTGGCTTGGAATTGGACACAAGTCTGATTTGCAATGGTCAAGCCTTTTGCGATTGTATTGTGGACATGCGAGCAGATACCGCCCATTGCAAGGATTTTGCAATTCAGTACGAAAAAAATTTTGGGCTAAGGTTTTCTCACCTACTTGATGTTGTAAGAGCAGAAAATTTACATACTCACCAGAAAACGAATTGCCAAAGAAGATCGCTGCGAAAGAGTTTCACTGCGTGCACCATCTATTGATACTAGAACATGTAGGTGGGGTTTTATCCTATGGGTACCCCACCTACATGGGCTACCCATCAAAGGCACAATAACTTGTATATTGAGTAAGGATAACTTATTAAACGAGCTCCGATTTGAGAATGATATATTTGCTTATGCTGTAAAGAATCATGAGTGAACATGGTCTCGTAGCCAACGACCTTCAGCTCAAGCGGTAGGTTTTGCGCCCCAATGACAAACATGCCTTCTGTAAAACTGATGGGGATGAGATGGTACCGAGAACTGGACACTCAAGAGATCAAGTAAACCATCGGCCCTGGACAGTGCTGCAGTGCGAAAAACTGTCAGAAGTATCAAGAGCATTGAAAATTGAAAATCCGCAAGACGTTGAATGTCGAGATCCAAATCCTTTAAAGAAGTTACACGTTCGACAAGACCAGACAGAGTGCTCTGTGGAAAATTCGGACTAGCTTTGACTCTCATCATTTTGTCTTGAGACTGAGTCTCTTCAGGCCTTGCCCAACAACAACGCCTGGCTTTGTTAAGTGACTCGATAGGATGCATCGAGAACCTCAAATGAGGAGGTAATTCCAACCTATACCACTTGAGAATATTGTTATGAAAGCAATTTCTACTTTATACCATCGTGAAGGACCTTGTCAATAATAAGTTAGTCGATAAGAGAGGACTTTTCTTCCTTCGCTTCTGTAAAGTTAAAAAAAATGGCTTTAATTAACTCTCATCATTTCGTCTTGAGCCAGATTTTCTTAGATGCTCCCAACGATACCTGGCTTTGTCAACTCCATCAGAAAATCAGAGTACGCATCGAGACCCTTCGATGCGGAGATATTTCCAACCGATATTGCTCTGACTAAGCTTTGGAAGCTTTGTAAACTTTTTAACATTGTGAAAACCTCTACCAACAAAACAAGAGAGCAGCCGAGAGGAAAAGATTCTTTTCTCTCGGCTTCGTTCCTGCCAAGATAAAACTAGCTTTAATTCTCATCATTTCGTCTTGAGACAGAATCTCTTGGTCGTTGCCCAGTAAAGACGCCTGGCTTTTGTCAACTCCATCAGACATGTCGAAGGACGTATCGAGAATCTCAGATGCGGAGATATTTCCAACCGCTTTTTTCCGATTATTGGCATGATATCAATCTCTACTTTCTAACATTACGAAGAACCTTTTTACGAAATCACGAGACGATAAGAAAAGACTTTTCTTGCTTCGCTCCTGGTCGGTCCTCGACAAAGGATGTGCACTCGGAAACTCTTCTGAATATACGGAACTGTCGTGGTCAATTATAACCTCGTATCATAGGGGCCGTCAAGTACATTGCAGATATTGCACACATTCGAGTGAACGCGACCTACATCACCTCAATTAATCGAAGCATTTACAGAGTTAAACCTCCCAATAGTGACTTACATTGGTGCTAGGGTTTTATGTCACTGTTGGGAGCTGTCACTCACGGGAATAGAGTGCGTGACCTTCAATACAACCTCCTAATAGTAATATACATTGGTGTTAAACTTGGATGTCACCTTTGGGAGTGGGTAATTTTGAATATAATCTCCTAATAGTTACATATATTGGTTTTAGGGTGAGATGTCATTTATACAAAGGAATGCATAGACTTCTTATCGTACATTACGTCAGTTCTAGGACATTTCATAAATATGTTTCAAAATCCTCTTCGTTTTCACATCTGTATTGTTCATGACGGTTAACATGGGTGATATAATTGCGGTTGAATTCAAATTAATACACAAAAATCTAAGTGAAACAATTGATAATAATACATGTAACAAGTATTTTATTGAAGACCAGAAAGACTGAGTGGTCATTATAGATCTTTAGATAAACCGTATGTCATATTTTTTTTCCTCATAGCTATGTATTGTGACCATGATAAAATTTTTAACTCTAAAATTACAGATGAAACTATTAATATTAAATAGTTTTCAGTGCTAGTAACCCAATCGCAGAAGCGACCCCAAATGCTTGCGCTTTCGCGTCTTTCTAAAGTAGCGGTCATGTTTATTCATCATTCTTATTGAGCAGATTACACTTTAGTTTCTAGAGTGTAATTTTGGTTTTGGAATTTTACGTCGCTAATGAGAGTATGTCACTCATAAGAGAGAAATACTATTGGGAGGTTCAGCTCTGTGCAACTTCCATTGAAGATGTTACCTATTGCACCAGGGATATCGTTCGGCATATGCGGTAACTTGAAGCTCTTAGACGCGTGAGTGACAAACAGAGAATATCAGGAACTGGACGTCCGAAGGACAATGTACATGGGTGGAGTAATGTTCTTTACCTCTTGCGTTTGTTTTTAACGAGGAATCCACCTGGGTGTTGAGAAAATTGAGCATGTACGAGTGAAGGGGAGACTAGAAAGAATGCTGAAGGTCTTCGATGACCAGGTCCATGGCTAGTGAAATACACCACAGATCGGAAATTAGTATTGGAACTCAAGATTTATGGTCCACAAAGACTCCCCTTACAAGACTCGCATAGTGAGGATGTTCGAGATCGAGTTTCATGCGCTTCAATCATCTTACGGAGCAATAGGAGGTTTTCAGTAGGAGTATGGCACGCAGGTTTATCAATTGTCGGCTTCCATTTTTTCTTCTCCTTCAAATCAGACGTTGATCAGACCATTTTTAATTGATGGATGATCGATAATCAACCGGTCCAAGTAGCTCCAACTTCAATTACGGAGGATGCGATTAACGTTGACTCTCGCAACAATATCGAGCCTTGAGTCCACATTTCGCAGGTGGAGGAGAGCCAAAGCTACTTCTTCTGGTAAGAGGCTGCTGCCAGAGCCAGCAGATGCAAAAAAATCCACCAAAAAGTGTTGGAGATACACAGAGACTCCGAAAGGGTTCTATGAACTCTTACCCACAATGCGTGCAGTGTCATGCATGCATTGTGTCATGCAAACATGAGCTCTCTGGGTCGAGTTGGTTTGGTCGGTAGAACTGAGACTGCCTCTGGTTCTACAAGCAGTGTCCAGCGGCAATCAAGCGGCGGAATGGGTCAGGCGACTAGAAGCAAGAGCTCTCTCCACTACATCGTCCAGTACTCTCTTTCACTCCATGTTGTCACCTGAGGGAGCAAGATTTATATATTGTGAGCAGATCAACAAACTCTTATCTCGACCACGTGAAGAAGTACTGAACGAGAGGCTTCACTGTTCCCAACCTGGGATTTCAGCACTTTCATGGTTAGTGCCCATGAATTACAACCATCAGATCAGATCGTGTATGTAACTAGCCCTTACATGACTTCGATCCAGTACGTACCAACTCATTGACAAGTGAGCACCTTTGAAGTCCACAGACTTATTGTCTGCCAGTTACGGTCCCCAGCTGGTTGCTCATTACATGACCGGGGGCGTACTCTCCGCAGGTAATAAAATACGAAGAGCACTATTCTATACAGTGATGCCTTCGTCCACCCTGGCCTCTAGAAATTCACTGTCCCTGTATAGTTTAGCTTTGTGCCGTCGACTAAGTCCAGGTGTCGCCCTTTCTGCTCTCGCCTTCCTCGCAACCAAAGGACACAGCGGATGTAATGCGGCGTGATGGCCATCTTCTCGTCCTGATGCAATTAGTTTAATCGGTTCGAGCCAGAATTCGTGAGCGCATCCAGCAGGACTGTAGCGACATGACTCGAGGATTATATACCGTCGAGGCCAATCCAGGTCAACAAGGGGAGGGACATGGGCTTGGGAGCCGAGTAATTGCAAAACAAAGCCGCAGATTCGGGGACCATGGGGGCAGGACCTACACAATATATGGCAGCTTGTGCAGCCACTGGGCGCACGTTCGGCACACTATGCCATCCGTCGTTCACAAGGCGAACAGGAAGCGAGCCTTGGACGAACTCTGAGAGGAGACAGTCTCGATAGACAGACAGCTCGCTGGGTTCGGAGGAATTTTTCCACTGGCGAATCTCGGACGATCGACCTGTCGGGACTGCGATCGGCTCGTGAACTGGTCTCCTTCGATCCCAGAAGCCCTCTGGATCCGGCCTCTGCGCACTCCGAAGGTTCGGCTGGGTGTCGATTGTGCTATGAAACAGGAGAGCGGAGGGCGGAAGGATTATAGTATTGCAGCCCTGTGGAAAAAAAAATGTGCATTTGAGCCTCGGCAGGAGCCTTTGGGGTTCGTGTAACGAGATTGGCCAGGCGCAGACGCTCGATCCGTTCCAGGCGTGTCGACAATATGATCCAGGCGGTGGAATCCACCGTGTGCAGATCGCGAGAGTGGAAGAAGTCCGTGGACATTTATATCCCCTGCTGATGTCGCGCGTCTTATGCTAGCCTCGCAGGGAGGGCTTGGATCTTGCAACGCAGACATGTCGACGCCGCCGCTGCGAACGGATTCCAGCAAGAACATGGACGTTACACCATCTAAAGTTACACCCAGTGAGTACGCCTCGTCTTGCTTGCGCAGCATTTTTCACCACTCTTCTTCTTCTTGCTTTCTTGATTGTTTGCTTGTTTGCTTGCTTTCGATCCACATCGTGCACCGCCGCACGCCATCCATCCAGGGAGCCGGCCCAGCATCGCAGCGTGAGCCAGCGGGAAAATTCGAGCCCGCCGCATGGTGAGAAAACTCGATGAGAGGAAATAGATCGATTCCGCATGGCCGCAGCTGCTGCTCGATGAGGCCGACCACTCGATTGTCCACTTCTAACAAACGGAATTGAGCCAATGCGGTGGGGAGCTGAGATGACGAGACCGAGGAGAGAAGAGAGATGAATTCCAAATTGCCGCAGGTGCTTCTCGATGAGACTGACCACTCGATTGTCCAGTTTTAACGACCGGAACTGAGGCAATTCGGTTGCGGAATCGGAGATGATGAGAGAAGAGAGGTGGATTCCGAATGGCCGCAGCTGCTGCTGGATGACACCGACCAATCGATTGTCCACATCGAATTATCGGAATTAGATGAACCGGAGACGATGAGGAAAACCGAGGAGAGAAGAGAGATGGATTCCGAATGGATGAGACCGACCACAGGATCGATTGTGTTGTCTAACGGAGGCAATGGACGGGATTGGATTGGTGGTGCAGAGGCGGAGGAATTCGTGCCGATGAGCGTGAGAATGGTGGGCGCAGTGCTGCGGCGCATCGACTCGTGGGTCTACCGCAAGGACGGCACGGTGAACCGCGCGCGGCAGGACTTCTTCGAGGTGAAGGCCAAGGCGAACGCGAAGCCGGTGAACGGCGTGTCGACCAAGGACGTGGTCATCGACCCGGCAACCGGCGTCTGGGCGCGCGTCTTCACGCCTGACCAGGAAATCATGCCGGAGTTCGAAGCCGAGGACGGGCAGTCGGAGAAGAAGCTGCCGGTCATCGTCTACTACCACGGCGGCGGCTTCGTGGGCATGAGCCCCGACGTCGTGGTCTACGACAAACTGTGCCGGCGCCTGGCGCGCGCGGCCAACGCCGTGGTGGTGTCGGTACACTACCGGCGCGCGCCGGAGTTCCGGTACCCGGTAGCGTACGAGGACTCGTTCCGCGCGCTGGAGTGGCTGCAGTCGGCCGAGTCGCAGGAGGAGCTGCCGGGCGCGGCCGACCTGACGCAGTGCTTTCTGGCCGGCGACAGCGCCGGCGGCAACATCGTGCACTTCGTCGGGTGCATGGCGGCAAAGAGCGACCTGCGGCCGATCCAACTGCGCGGGCTCGTCCTACTGCAGCCGTTCTTCGGCGGCGAGGACCGCACCACGTCCGAGCTCACCGTGAACCCGCCGGTCCTCAGCCTGGAGCGCGCCGACTGGGGCTGGAAAGCCTTTCTGCCCGAGGACGCGGACCGCGACCACCCGGCCTGCAACGTGAGCGGGCCCAACTCCATGGACATCTCGACGCTGCGCCTGCCGCCCGTGTTCGTGGTCATCGGCACGCTGGACATTCTCAAGGACTGGCAGATGCGTTACGTCAAGAAGCTCGAAAAGCACAACAAGCAGGTGCGCGCTGAGATCTACGTCGGCGGCTTCCACTCCTTCTACGCCTTCGAGGGCAACGAGCTCGGCGACCGCGCCATGGCCGACGTCGTCGCCTTCATCGACTCGCATATGGATCTTGATTAAGAGTCGACATTTGCGAATTGCATCCCCCGCCCTGCATCGAAATCTGCATCCGATCGACGCAGCTGTAGATAAGCCCAGCCCCCGCCGCCGCCGCCGCCGCCCCCTGTAATATGATGAAATTCGGTGGCTGATTGTTCGAGTTCGAGGTCGAGGTCGAGGTCGAGTTCTGGAGGATGGAGGATGGATGATGATGCAGACCTCGGCCCGGCGCTGTTCCTGCGCCTCTGGAACAGCCGCGCATCTGCCGCTCCGCTCGGCGTGTCTGCCAGGGCCTCGATGAGCTATATATCAATGGAATATCACGAAACTGACAAGTTGAGAAAAGCGCCTTGCTGAATCCTATTACTCGGTCACTATACTAGCAGCCATGCCCTTCGCCTTTACCGCTTTCCGGAGCACCGTCGCTGTCTGTGTCTGTGTCTGTCTGTCTGTCTATAACCATGGAACCGTAGAAGAGTAAGAGGTGCAGATTGTAACATTATACTAGCGTTCAGCTGATTCCTGTCACGAGGTGACTAGAATTGCACCGTACCACTAACAACCTTCCTCACTATCGATGTGTGCTCCCCGGGAGTTCGCCAAAGGTCTGTAAGAGGTGTAGAGGTTTAAGTCCAGGAGTAATTTCAGAAAAAGCGTCTTGCTGATGTGCTGGGAAAGTGCTGTCTAACACACTTCTGCCGCGGACTGACGTTTGTAAATGATGATGAATCAAATTGAGCCTTCAACAGCTCTCGTACAGCAATTGTGTTTTTGGACTTTCAGCGTCCGATGTCGGTGTCTGTTTCTGTTTGTCGAGCCATCGCTTCCGAGATCCACAACCTGGCTCCGTTTTCCGCTCCTGCTGCTGCCTTGATTTCCTCGGGTCTGATGAGTCATGTTCTTTGCTCACCAGCCAGTGTTCTCGATCTCTATGATTTGCTTACGGTCGAATCCCTTGCACGTACGAGACCTCCGACTTTCTGTGTTCCTGCCAGAGTTATGATCACGTGCAGAGCTGGAAATTTGTAACCTTGTACCTTCTGTGCCCAATTGTCACACCTACAGTATCTTGTACTGTAGGTGTGACAATCTGTACTGTCCAACATTTTGCTGCCTTCGCGGCATGACTTCTTCGATGAAGTGTTTGAGTTTCTCTGGGTGAACTGGACCGAGGCGGTGTCTGAATCGCAGGACCACCGAAGATTTCGATGACGAGATGGGCCCGCGTTCACCAATCATGCGTCCGTAGTAATCAGCACTTTGATCATGCGAATTCTGCCGGGGCTATTGGACGTCACGCCTCGCTCATATTGTTCCTCCCCAATATGAAGCTAGTTATGCATATACCAGCAGTACCTCCGTGTACTGAAAGCACACCAAATGCATCGACGATACATGAGACCTTCGAACCGTGTCTGCTTCTCGTTGACGGCAAAAGGAGGAGTCTCAGACATGGAGATGGCTTTTCTCAGAAAGCGAGTGTGAGAATGAGTTTCTTCACCATGCACGTACACTTCAGAATTCCATGTCCATGCACGTACGAAGGAGACTTCCCCTCGACGTGAAGCTGTCAGTACTTGGTGTGGGATTTAATGACTAAGTTTAGATTTGCTATATTAGAGTCAGCAAGTTACGAATCACGATCATTTGCAATAATTGTAAACGATAATTTTAGCAGGCTTCATATCGTCACGCGAATGCCTCAAGATGGCGATGCACGAGCACTGGAACTCACTCACGCATGTCATCGAAACCACGAACGCGTTCATTCTTTTGGTTCGCTCTGTTGTAGGCTACAACAGTAAACTGTTACATGGATACATGTCCACGCAGTAGGCTTATGATTTACACAAATTCTGGAAACTTGACCTTTGAAGGAAAGACTTCCGACGAAGAAGTTACGTACCAAGTTATGGCATTCATTGTAGATCGAACCAGCACTGCAGAATCTGAAGTCAGGTTCCTCAACGTGAAGACGGTTATTATAATATTGTCATGAAAAGTCATGCGACCTTGTAGGGGCCAGCTTATCCAGTACACCACTTCATGGCATAAACCGAAGTCAAAGGGTTCTATGTCCGTCCGCATGGCATCACGGGCAATTCAGTCTTTGCCCTCGATACCATGCTCACGGACAGAGGACTAAGAAATAAAATAATTCCAAAATGGAACAATAATTTGAACTTGTTTTCCAGTGCCAACATCGTTTTATTGCAATCTATGAGAAGGTTTTTTATTATATTCAAAATCGTATATTATGTTGTTCTATCTATCATCTCAAACTCTTCTCAACTTTTGTCCACCATTGATCTACTTTTTTCATGTTGTGATGTTCAGAATTGTTGAGGTTAACTCCGGTTAAGGAGTAACCTCACGTTTAGCTATTTATAGCTAAGAGTGGTCGTCAGTGTTGGGTATATATATACCCAGGGTCTGTGTGTTACTTGACAGTTCGCACATTATACCTATACGCTATTCCCCGTGGACGTAGCCCTTGAGAGGGTGAACCACATTATACTTTTGTGTCGCTGGTGGGACTGAATGATGAATGATTTTCAAGTTTTACGTTTTCAAAAATATCTAATTAGTGTCAAACAAGTAACCTTACAATTATAAGTCATTGATACATATTTTGAAATCAAATATTTGAACAGATATGAGATTGAAAGCTAAAAATGCATAGATGAATGGATTTTCAATAGATTAAAAATTTAAAAAATATATATATAATCGATCATCAAATTATAATTAAGATTTTGACATCGTTTTATGATTCATATATGTTAAAATAAATTTGAGAAGTAGATATTGAATTTCACATTAAAATGTTCATTACGACTTTACATGTCTATGTTATACACTTTTATTCAGTTTAAACTTCATTTTCAATATTAAACTAGAAGCATATTTTGACAAAAAGTGATCCATATTTTTTGTTAACCAGCTGCTTTTTTGTGCAATTATATATATATATATATATATATATTTTAAAAAGAAATAACATTTGATATAACAAGAACATTTATAATCATATTCATGATAATTTTTTCAATCAATTTCTATATAATATATATTATTTGTCGCAAATATGAGTAAATATACTTCTTTTTAATCATCAAGTATTGCTTGTTAAAATAAATTACTCTTTTATCTAAGTTATTACACGCAATATCCTCCAAAAACATATTACCCAAACTCAAAATTTTGCATGATGAATTTTTTCAAGTGTAATGAATTGACTTGTTTATTTGAGACTAATTTATTGCCTAATCATATCATTAGTATTACAAGATTTATATTCAATTTTAAGTGAAAGAATACAAAAAGTTTGCAACAAATAGTGAATATGGTGAGATTATTCAAGGATCTAGTAAAAAAAATCTCAATATGAAGTTTTACGTTGTTGATGAACTCATATTTTTTGTGAATATTGATATCAATATTTAATCATGAAATCCAACATGTTAATATTGCTTACAATAATGATGCTGTTGAAATGAACTCTAGTTAAAGAGTAACATTGGAATCTAACTATTTATAGCTAGAACGGTCATCTAGACAAAGGATAAATACCTTGGCATTTGCCTTGTACATAAAATCTTTTATGTACATGACCTAGAACTAAAGTGCAGCGTGTTTTTAGTGAACATAGTCCTTTCGAAAGGATGAACCACGTTACATCTTGTCTCGAGGGTTTTTGTCATTTGTGTGTTTTACACTATCAATTGGTATCAGAGCCAAGTTTCGGTTTGGAGTTTGTGACAAAAGTCTATGACACACTTAGTTTCCACTGATAATTTTTGGAGTCGAGGTGATTGTTTTTACTTCAAGAAATGCAAATTTTGGAGGCAAGTCGAGGTGGGAAACCACATCCTAGGTTTTTTTTTTTCCTAAGCAGCGCGCAGGGTCAGAAATTGAATTGACGATTGGTTGAGTGGAGATATGAACAATTTTGGAGCCTTCCAGATGATGACTACCGCAAGATTTCATCCTCTGGAGCATGGGGGACCCACTAGCAATGTGAGAGCTGAAGAAGGCTCCGAAAGTTTCTTCAAAGGACGCTATGATCACAAAGGAAACTTTTTTGTCGGTTGCTTACTTGGAGTTTAGGCTGGCTCGGTGCGAAGCCAAGGCCGGATGGGACTTGCCGAGAAGTTCAGGACTGCGTTCCTAGAAGACTGGCTAAACACGAGTTGATTCTGTCGAGAAGTGGCTACTTTTTTCATCTGAGATTAAATGGCTTCGACCGTGTTGATTGGAGCTGTCAAGTGTTGAGATTGAAAGATGGAATTGCTTCATAGATGGACGATGATGCTTGAACCAGAAGGATCGATGCTATTCTAGCCCTCGGGAGGCTCATGCTCCATGTACCTTGATCAATTTCATTGTCGTAGAACATTGAGGAAATGTTGATGTTTAGACACGATACAGTTTAGGAGTTTCTATATTTCTTAGACAAGTCTATCTTGCAACGCTAGAGCAGTTCGTGCCACGAGAAGAAGCTCCGAGCATGAACCGCAGTAGGGATCATGAGAAGAGGAGACACGGACTCGCGAGACGAAGCCAAGTCGGAACGATTACTTAAGGAAATTTTAGTTGGCAAGCAAAGTACTCGACGAACGATGAAGAGCCCCCTAGTACGTACGCTGAAGGGCCCCACACAGCAGCGCGCGGTTAGGAGGCCAACTCGCATTCTATAACTTGCAGTCGCGCATGAGCGGAGGTTGCCCACAGGAGCGGTAGCGCGTGGTTATGGCCTCCCCGGCAGCGATGCGGGCAGTGCGGAAGCCGCTAGAGGGCATTTGATCTGCCCGCGTGGTTAGATTTCCTCGCAGTTAGTGTAGTGAGGGTAGTCTGCGAGCAAAGTACTCGGCCAACGGTGTGGAGCCCTCAATCCTCCACCCCGAGGTCACGCAACAACCGCAATCATCTAAGTCGGCGATCCATATCCCATCAACAACTTACGCCTTCGACCTGGCGGTGACGGCAAACCTTAGATCAGTAAATTCCAAACGGCGAATGTGGTTAGAGTGGACGTGGTCGTCACAAACATAGTCGGTATGTTAACGTGGTCAAAATGCACGTGGTCGTGGTCGTAGTTGCAATTGCAGTCGTGGTTGCAGTTGTGGTCATGCCGAACGTGGTTATGGTCGCGATCGTGATCAAGTGAACGTGGTCAGTCATGATCGCAGTCTTAGTCGGGTCGAACGTGGTTACGGTTGAAGTCATGGTCGGAGATCTAACATAGTCGGCGGCCAAAAGTGGTCAGAAGGGCAACTTAGTCAATGGCCGACTAACGGTGACGGTGATCGTGACGGCGGAGACCGACGATGACGGTTGAGAATAACAGTGAATGAATATTTCTTAGAAATATTTTTTTATCAGAATATAGACAAATTGGATATTGTTAGAAAGTTTTTGATGCAAATAGTGCATCTTGACATTTTTCAGCAACTAGACAATGATTTAGAAGGAGAAAATTGACTCTAAAAGCAATCGCGAGCAACATAGTTGCGAATGACAAACAGTGAGTAGCAGACGCAATCCAGTTGTATGCGATGGTTTTGGTCGGTCACGAGCGCAATCAGTCATGGCGACGATAATGGTTAGTCGTAGGCGTAGTAAGTTGATGGGCGACAATTTTGGTAGGTGGTGAGCGCAATTAGCCGTGGGCGATGTTTTCGGTCGGTCACGGGCACAGTAAGTCGTGGACGACTATTAGTTGCTGGCGCTGTTAGTCGCAGAAAATAGTGAGGTCCAGTCACATGTAACATGCTAGTCGCGTGCGACACT